TTTTTGTTTTATGTTTATAAAAAAATTTTGAAAATTCATTATTTTATTTAATAATTATTATTGTCATGTAAATGGTTTTTATTTTTGAAGAGAGTTAAAATTCTGATAGATATAATAGTAATCAATTCAAATATATATATCTTTTAACGATATACCTTTTTGTTTTATATATTTATATTTATATTTATATTTATATTTATTATTATTATTATTATTACTATTATTATTTATTACTATTATTATTATAATATTACCTCAGAAGAAAGTTATAATGAAGGATTAATCAACGATGACTTTATTAATTCACAAAAATATATTGAAATTAGTAGTGTTGCAACGTTCAGGAATCTTCGACAAAATCCAACATACATAATACATTTAAACCTGGAAATTTTAAGACACCAAGAAATCAACCAAACAACATTGAATTTTGCATGAATTAATCTTCGTACTGACTTGGGACAAAAATAATTAATAATATGTTACTTACAACCATTTTCAGTCACCGAAAATGTATATTTTAAAAAATGTCATCTTCTCGGACCCAAGATATAGGGCTCCAGACTGTCACAAATTAAAAATTATAATAACAAGGGCTATTTTGTTCCCTGTCCTTGTTACATGATCAATTATTGACAAGAAGGAACGGAGAACGGAACAAGAATGAAAACGAGAAAACCAGTTCAAAAATAGCTTACACTAATAGCGATCAACACCAACATCAACACCAACATCAAAATCAACACCAACATCAAAATCAACATCAACATCAAAATCAACATCAAAATCAACATCAAAATCAACATCAAAATCAACACCAACATCAACATCACATCAACATCAACATCAACATCAACATCAACATCAACATCAGCCAATGTATCATGTATTTATTTATTTTAATTGGATTATATCTTAATAAAATGAAAGATCAATTTTCTAATTTTCTTAATTGTTTTACACCATTTATATCAGGTAAAAGATTTTGAATGGATGCTTCTTCAGTTCCCAACGTACGTAATGTCGTCTCCATACAGAATGTGATGTCCCGCCTGGTTTTTATATCAATTTCCGGTTTCAGGTGATCAACTCTCTCAACATTACAAAGTCCTCTTATTGAATCACATAAATTTACTGAGCCTTTAATTTTAGACATCAGATTTCTTATTAAATCAACTTGCACATCTATAATTTCAAAACCTTGTTGTGCAAGCAAGGCTTGAAATGTGTGCAGCACAGCAATAGTGCATGAATAAAAGTTGATTTTCAAGATTTTGCTTGAGGATCCTTGTACATAAAACCATGGCAGATTCGTTATACTCAACACCTTTTTTGAATACCAATATTGGTATGTTGAGTAAAGGTTCAGCTTTGGTCTGACTAGTGCTTTGGACATATCAATCAACCAATTAAGTTTCATGCTCCGAATGGAACTTTTTCGTTTAAGTTCGGTTTTTTCAGAGCATTAATGTTGAGATAGATGGTGTCCAATAAAAAATGCTTAAAAGTCCAAGTGAAATCAATGAAATGATTGTTTTCTTGTTGTACAACTGATTTACATAATAAAATGCGTTTTTTAAAAAAAGTTCACGCACATATAAAATCTGCTATTGGTTTTTGTGTGTAAGTTGGTGGTGTTCGCCAGTATTAGGAAAACCATTTCTGGAACTGTATAAACAATTCATTTTTGTTGTTGATGACAATATTGATGTCTATCAGAGAAAGGATAAAATAGTTTGATGTTGGTGTTGATGTTGATGTTGATGTTGATGTTGATGTTGATGTTGATGTTGATGTTGATGTGATGTTGTGGTTGGGT